CAAGCAAGCAAGCAAGCAAGCAAGCAAGCAAGCAAGCAAGCAAGCAAACAACTCTGGGAGGCAGAGGCAAGCAGATACTGAGTTCAAGGCCATCTTGGTCTACAGAGTGAGTTCTAGGACAAACAGTGCTACACAGAAAACCTTCTCTGTTTAAGATGAACAAACAAACAAACAGGGAAAAAAGCCAAAACCAAACCCAACCTAACCAACCAACTGAACAGAAAACCCCAACTCCACAATATGATATGCAGGTGAGTCATGCTTTGAACACAGAACATTTTCTGCACAATGACTTCTGTGGATGATGAGCACATCACCAGTTACTCTGCAAGCCAATACCATGACAACAACTGTGTGTCTCAGAGGCCCTTTTGAGTGGACACTGGTTGCTTCAAGAGCCCACAGCGCAGGAATGCAGCCCTGGGTCCTTCAAGACTGACATTCATGTTGACATGTGTGCTACACCTGCTGTGAGGTTACCACATAGAATGGATGAGTGAATGCTGTTCCTCATGCTAACATTCCTGACTATAAATGTACAGGCTTTCCCTATATCTCCCCGTCCTCTCATCTGAGGATAGCAACTGAGTGTCCAACAATTCCAATGAACTCTGACCCTATATATTCAGAGCAAACGAAGGTAAGACTTCCTAGACTCCCCTGCTTTCAAATACTACTCACTAGCCTAGGCTACTCATACTACAAGATCCTCCTCATACTTGAGTATTTGTCTGACTGTCCCACAACATGTAGGAGGGCACTTTATTTATGACTGCTGCTTTATTATGAAAGCCACAACCCAGAAAGAGACCAATGAAAGAGGTGCATTGGAGTGGAGGTGGGGGTCCTTCACTGGGCTTCCGTCCTTTCTCTGACTTCATCTGTGCCTTCCTGAAATTAAAGGTACCCAGCAGCCATCTAGGGCCCTCAGCTACCAGTCATGTAGCATACCCCAAATGTTCTCATCACTGGCAACACTGAGCAGCCTGTATATGAGGACTAAGATCAAGGCTCACGGAAGATGCTTGCTCAGATCCAACCACAATCACCTAGGAAACCATTTTTGGAGCTGGGTGCCAGGAACCAGAAGCAGAGAGCAGATAGTCATGTCTCATACATACCACATAGCAGAAGCACCAACCACCAATTGTTCAAACAAAAACTATGCACAAAGCTATGGGTGTCTTTCATTCAGTTTCCTATATGGATAAATTAAGCAATCTCCCCTACAACCTAGATCATTCTGACTGAAGGGAACAGAATAATTTAACTGATGCTCTCAAAATTCCTTGTATAACTTTCTCCCAAATCAAGAATATGCACAGAGCTCCTCTAAGGCATCTTCATGAGGCTGCTAGACAGTATCAATAGTTGATAATGGGACAGCTATTTTGAAGCAAAGACATTAGAAAGGACATGACTGGAGAAGAGGCAGACTTGGAAGTAATGTGTCCTATTATGTCTGTTGGTTGCTAGCTCTTCTATCCTCTGTTTGTACTAAAACATGAACAGTATGGGACAGAATCTAATATATAAACTCAGGTAGACATGGGGTGCCTCAGTACATTGCAAAAGTTTAGTGAATTTTAAAATACAACTATGGCATTTGTTCATAAAGGCTATTCTTAGAACTAGTTATAAAGTACTGTTAGCACAGACTAATCATTTTAGAAAGTAACAAATTTCCTTTTACTACTCCACTCATCAACACAGAATAAATGACCGTGGGCAGCTGAGCACAATGGGAGACAGGGGTAGGGCAGGATGTATTTATTGTGCTTCTCAGGGATTGTGGAAGGGACCAAGGACTGTGAAGATGGTGGTGTGACCTTCTGACAGCAGAGGTTTCTGTGGCTATGGATGAGGGATCTTGTCAGGAAAGGTTGTCTTCCTTTCTCTAGAGTTTCCATATTAACCAAAGCTGCTCCATCCACATGGAGGAAGAAAGTCTCAGAGCACTGGATGCTACTCAGCCCCTTGTAGTCTTGTACCCCGAGCTGTTCTCCTAGACTGCATACCAGCCTGGTCCTCTCTGAGACGCTGAACTGCATTAATGGACTCATAGCATCCCAGCCTGTATGCGCTTAGTAAGCTAAGCTGACCGACACTGAGTACCTCCCGTGCCCATCCTGCAAATGACTGAAGGCAAAAGGACAACACATGGGAAGTGGAATTCTGCTGGGAAAGCAGTTCAAGTGCACACTAACTGTATGCTTACATCTTTCACAAAGCAAAATGCATAGCTAAGAAAGTAAAATAGAATTCACATTTGAATAGTTGCAGAGGTCGCCTTTATTTTTGGAAAGAAGAAACTAAAGTAATTCATTACATTGTCCCCTGAGAAGTCCTTAAACGCAGAACAGAGCTTACACCTGTTTGTTTCCTAAAGAAAATGGGAAGTGCTGACACATAGAAGTATACTGTATACCAGAAGCACTATATCTTCTGTGAAAGCCTCAGTCCCAGTGTATGAACCCCAAATACTGTGCACGTCCAAATGTATTAACCATCAAGGTCTGTGCAGAGGCCCTGCGGATAGTAGCAGACGAGGGTACAGCCCATCTGCTCATGCGTGGCTCATATCTTTCTCTACATAGTCTGAGCCCTGAGTCACATTAAACAAGAAAATACGAAAAAAGAGAACCAAGGGGGAAAACAATGGCTGCACAGTGGCTCAGCCTCTGGTTCTGCGCTTTGACTGCACAGTGGCTCAGCCTCTGGTTCTGCGCTTTGACTGCACAGTGGCACAGCCTCTGGTTCTGCGCTTTGACTGCACAGTGGCACAGCCTCTGGTTCTGCGCTTTGTACTCTGTTGTCTTGTCACAGTCTACACAACGATGAGACTGTAGCGTAGTCTCAGCTGCAGGTTGTATCTGTTAATGGTGCCACACAGGTCTCAGTTCACCACCATATTACTTGTTTCCAATGTTTTCATAATGATATTCTGGTGGGTTTTCGTGCATAAACTTTATTTCTCATTTCCTAAATTTAAATTTCTAGACAGGAGGGTGCCTTGATGGCGTCTGCACCCAGCATAACTGCAGGGCAACAGTATTAGTCTGTGTGCACAGCATCATGTTTTGAAGTTGCAGCAGGTAAGTGAGACTATGAACAACTTTCTGTTCCCTCCATCATGGTGACTTACTTATTGGCTCCGAGGTGCCATGTCTCATGTGTGCTCAGGGCTAGCATTCATGATCTTTCTTATTAATTTCTACATGGACAAAGATTTTGAAATTTTAACTTAAAACTTGTTTTAACACAAAACCCAAATTGTGTCAACAGAAGTGTTTTGAACTTGCTCTATTTTTGTCAAAAAATTTTTTATC